GAAATAGAGCTGTTTAGTCCAACATGGCTGTTTAGAGAGACTGGAAAGAACAAGCTGTTGCATTGGGATTACTTCTGAGTAAATATTCAGAGAACTGAACTGTGCCTTGCATACCTGAAATCTGCGGTGTGTATATCTGACTAACCATCTATTGATATAAGGTTTTCATTCTCATGAACACCCCCCCCCCACACACACACACATAAAATGCATACATGTTCATATGCTTGATCCTAACAGTTTTTACAGGACATAAGTAATTTCCATATATTGTGTCAGGTCTCTAGCCTGCCTACCTGCATTTATTTACTCTCTGGCAATGGCTCCCTAATATCTCAAGCAAAGGTTTGTTTGGAGAACAACCTTCAAACACAAAGGTTTGTTTGTTTCTCTGGATTCTTTTATCCAGGGCCTTCTTAACGGAAGGCATAGGGTGTTGATCGTAAGAGGATCTAAATGAAAAATATCTAATCTACCCTTAAGTTTGAGTTTTCCACTCACACATTATCTTTTCTAAGCCGGGCATATGAAATATCAGGATGGATGCTGTTTGTGTGTGAGGGCATATGACAAGATGTGAAGTCAAGAAAAGGGAAATGGGGCATTAATGTTAAAATCATGGATGCTGTTTTTCCTCTCCCCTGCTCTTGCTCACTTTCTGAATGGGTGAAGAAGTGCAGGTGGTGGCCAAAAGGAGAGATGGGAACATCTGTTTACTGGAATGCCTCCCTCAATAAATGCCCCACAGTGCTGACCTCAACACCAGATGGCTGGAGCAGTGAGGAAGCAAGGTTCATTTCCAAATGAACCTATGTTAGATAAAAATCCAAACTAAAACAAAATATAACACCTACAGTCTCTCGGCTGCCATTAAGAAATGGGTGGGATATGGCATGGCAATTAAAAAAGAAATTTTCTGTAGTAATATTTGGAACACTAAAGAGATAAACAACAAGAGAATGAGGCGGTACATTAAACTTGCAAATACAGTATACATAGCATTGCTTATTCTAGGGTTTTATTTTGGTGTGTGTGTGTTTGTGGATTTAAAAAAAATTCAAAGTAAGCTAAAAACTTGACTGTGTTGAGCAATAGTCCTCAACAAACTAACAGACTGCCAACAGACTCTAGAGGTGGGGGGGGACTCTATCAGAAAGGTGTAGCCCTCCTTGAATTTGAGGCAGTGGAGGAGCAATTGGTTAGTGCCGGATAGATTGTCAGTCATCACAATCTGGAACGGTTACCCCCAGCCACACCTATTAGAGGCAGCATGCTGGGTTGGAAAAAAAAACTTCCAACAGATTCAACTATCTTCCAAGACAGTTGGTTGCATATAATTCCATACAGCTAATGCTGGGCTGAGACAAATGTGTTTTGCTTTGTTTTAACTCTAAGCCTAGATTTTTTAAAAATTTTCTTTTACTGAAGCTTTATATAAAGTGTGGATGTGCCCGCCATAGCATTTCTAGAACACGGATGAGAAACATACATACAGACACATGCATATAAACTCTGGGTGCCTTATGTTCTAGAACATTTTTATTAAAACAGTTTGGGATGGTGGCATTGAGAAATGTATTCTTCTGTCTGAATTCTTTTCAGAGCTCTTGAGTTAATTGACTCAAAGCCCTATGCCAATAAAGGTTACCCGAATTGATTGATTGACTCAAAGCCGAGCAATTTATTCAATGGGCATCTTTACTCTTCAAGATTGGAGCGTGATTCATATTTAAATATCAAATTCTAGGCAGAATGAGGTTTTGAGATATGGTGGTATTTGTATGTGAGCAAAAGCCAGACTTGTTTTTTTTTTTCTTTTTCTTTTTTAATCAGTAGCACAATGGACTGCAAGCTTGCTTCCCTCTGGGTAATTTTTTGGTACTGCATATGCTTTTGTTATTGCCAAGCTGGACTTCCACGGTGCCTTGTTTAATGGGTCTCCAGATTCTGTTATTTATAGATGTAGGTTCAGTCAGACGGCTACTGCTAGCGTGATCCAGGAAAGAGCTTGCACATTTGTAACCTGTTCAGAGCAAACACTACTTGCTGTGCCCTGGATTTAATTTTAAACTAAGATCATTTAAAGGAACGTCTTAAGGGATCAGCTGTTTATGCTACTGCTTCTTTGTTCTGAGATTTTGCATCTTCTTTTGTTCTGCTTCCTGAAAAAAATAATCTTGTTTGTATGTTACATAACTGCAAATGTTATGTTTAAGAGCTGTTGGAGCGAGTCATTCAGAACAAGCATGCTCTTCTTCCATTGTTGAGCTTTGTAGGAACTAAAAATTAATTATCAACTGATTTTGCAAATGTTGTCTCAAACCATGAAATTCTCTTTTGACTTTAGAACCATGAACACTCTCTTTATTACAGATGCCTACAGATGTCTTGATACATCTGATCTGTTGATCGTACACATAAAATTATTAGATGTCTTGACAAGTTGTAATATTTTATCAAGAGTTTAAATGGCTATACATTTTTGTTTTCAAAATCCAAACTCATGAAAAAGTGCTCTATACAAAGTGGCTGATGTCATCTGGGTGATAAGGTGATTGGGGTGTGATCAAAGGGTGCTTTGCCCTGCAGTTTGGGCCTCTTTAGGAACTGATTTCATTTTCCAGTGACCCCACAACACACAGCAATAACAAACCAGTTTCACCCATATCTGTGCCTACCTGAATCTTTTTGAGTCCTAGGCAGGGGCTACTGTGTGTTGTTGTTTTTAAGTGTGGATAGGATCTGTCTTGTTTTGGTTTAGTTCTAATGTGTGATTGCCAATGTTGAACTTAGCCAGCATTTTGATAGTTGAATCGCCTTTTCCTGCTCCCCCTCTAGATGGGAAGACAGAAGACGATGTGAAAGTTTAAAAAAAAAAAACAGTGCTGAATCACTTCAGTGGCAAATTAATTCAGAAATATGTCATTTAAAAATATATTTTTTAAAAATTGCAGACTTCCTCTGCAAAGGGAAATGGGAGGGGGCATGGAAGGGAACATTTTATGTTCTTTTGTTTTTCGGAAGGGCTAAATAGGATCACTTGAGGTGTGTCGTGACTTTCTGCCCCCAGACCACCTGATCCTTGTTTGTGGATACAAGAATCGCTCCAAATGTCATACCATACCTCAGAGTGCCTCTGTCCAGCCTGATCCAGGCCAGGATAATTTGGCGGTCTAGTCATATCCTCTGTCTGCAGCATACATATTGCTGTGGTTTACATATTAAGGTGTTTGCATTGCTTATCCTTGTTCTATTAGCTGTGTCACAGTGGGAGCACACAGCCTCTCATCAAAGTTTGCATCTGTAATTAAACCCCTATTTTCTTTGGCCTCTTTAGACTGTATTACTTGGTCTGACATTTCAAGCTTGCTTCAAAGATGTGTAATGCAGCATTGTTTAACTGAAATATTAAATGACCGTTCCAGTTACATAATTGATGAATTGGCTGTCACAAAGCTTTATGATGAAAGCACTCAGCTGCCATGTTCCTGTGCCTGTGGCTGGATAGGAATAATGGAGGAGATGTCAGGGGGAGCGCAGAACCAAAAGAGAGCAAATGTCCTACTCTTCTACTGGGGCCTAGAGAAACTGTTGCTAAGAGACAAAGAAAACAGGAAGGTTTGGACGAAGAGGGCCGATTTTTCTTTCCTTCCCTTGTTCAGGCAGAGAACATGGCAGAAAACCCCCCATACTGGCTGCCATGCTGCTCCTACAGGACACATGTGCCATGTTTGCGTGTAATTGCAACAGATGGTACTAGGTAATTTTCCAGTTCAGTATATGGATCACATTCAATATTCTAGTCTTTCATGCCTAAATAGTCTCGTGGAACTGGTTCACACTGGGCAAGCAGATCCAGACATGTAAGAACAATAACCTTTGATCTGGATGTCTTGCATCTGAAGTATTTTTGTAGTCTGATCTGGATTGATCTGAGTGATGTATCTTCATTTTTTTCTCTCTGCTCTGCTTCCCTTGACCCGAAACAAAGCTCAGAACAGCTAAAATCGCATACAAAAATATAAAAAAAACAAATAGCCTGTACTGGCAATAGAAGTGCCACAATAAACTTATGAACTTTCAATATTTAAGAAAATCAATTGAGTTAGCTGACTTGATAAAAAAATATAAAATTCATCAACAAACATTATATATAAACAAACTGCAGGGGATGCATACTGGGACTCCTGGACAACTCAGTGGTTCAGGTCTCTGGCTGCAGAGCCAGAGGTTGGGAGTTCGATTCTCCGCCGTGTCTCCTTGGAAGGAACTGGATTGAGTGATTCATGGGATCCCTTCTAGCTCCGCAGTTCAAAGGTTATCATTACTATTGTTATTTTAAACGATGAGAAGACTGATTTAAACTGGTTTTGGACTATCTGCCTGGTCACTTAATGGGGATTCCTGCACTACACAGGTGGCGAGCAGATAGCAATTGTACCATGGTACAGTATAAGAATCCATCTTTTAAACCTTATTTTAAATTACTTCCAATTGTGTGAAGAAAGAACTATTTCTCGGTTTGTGCCGTTAATTCTTAACGTTATCCCAAGGCTGTTCTCCCCACTACCTTTTACCTTCAGTGCATCTGGGAATTTATTTAGCAGGAAACAGTTTTTTTCTTCAAACTTTCAGTATCAATTAATTTTTAACTTTTTTAAAAAATTCATTTGCAGCCTCAAGCGCGTCCTTCCAGTGTAAGCCAGCTTGCTAAGGCGGCTGTGCAGGCGCTGATAAGACCTAAACTGCATAGAGGTTGCTCAGCCCAGAGGCTAGGCATTAGACAAGTTCCTATATAGCACTGTTTGTTCTGCTCTCAATCAGCAAGAGTGCTGGTCTGCTTATTTCTTTTTCTAATGCCTGGGGAAAGAATGTGGCTGAAATCACACTGCAGACCCCACTGTGAGTGCCTAGCTGTCTTTTGTTGATTTCCCATCAATATTTGTTTTGAAGAGATATTTTAAAATAATGTTTACTTCATGTTTTTCTTCTTTCCAAAGCATAATGTACTAAATGTGGATCCAGTACTTACTGAAGAAGAGATCTTTTCACCTTTCAAGATGTCAATACAGTAGCAAATGAAGAAGTCAAAGTGCATCAAGTGGACAAAATTGAAGATTAGCACGAAAAAACCGCTAGAACCATGGCTGCAGGTGAATATGCTATAGATCATAAGTGGTGTGGTCATCCTTTCAGCACTGGATTTCTGTTTTTCTGTTCTTAACCAGAGAAGCTCATCTGCCTCAAAATATTTTTGTTTTCCAAGTACACTTTTTCCTGGTATTACATATAATGCTAAATCAGTGGCATGATTAGTTAAGGTATTCTGGGCGTTTCCAAGCCCAATGCTAAACTGAGATTCATTCTGAAATTCAGTATCATGTTAGTCTGTTGTAGGGAAGAACAGAGTGTTGTGGCATGTTAAAAACTAGCATATTTCTCAGAGCATAACCTTCTGGGGATGGCTGTCTACTGAAATGGACTACAGTCCCCAGAAGCTTTTGACTAATAATTTTTAAGGGTGACACAAGTCACTGCCATTCTAATTTCGTTTTTCTTGCAAACATATCAGCATCCTTGGGAATTTGTTACCATAGGAACCTTTGCCCCTTATTAGATTAGGTTTTTACACACACTGTGCATTAGGAGTTTTTCGTTTGTTTGTTGCCCACTGTACTGCAAGTTTTCCCATAGATGATCAAGAGAGAATAACTAATACTAAGCCCTTGGATAGTAATGCTGTCACAATTTAACTGATTTTTCTAGTTTGCAGTTTGCCTTCCTTGTTTCCCTGCTTATAAGCCTCAAATGTGCTTCTTTCTCTGCAGCAGCAGATGGCTTGGGAAGCATAGCTATAGATACCACACAACTTAACATGTCAGTCACAGATCCAGCAGCTTGGGCAACTGCTATGAATAACCTGGGTATGGTTCCAGTGGGATTAACTGGACAACAGCTTGTGACGGGTAAGGGTTTTGGTGAGATTTGTTGCACTGCTTTATAGATTTTTTTAAAAAAAGAATCCAAGGATGAATGTCTGACATTTGTGTTTCAGGAAGTGCATGCTGTGTGTTTTGTATGTGTGGTAATTTAGTATACTTGCAGAGCATTTCCCCCCCCCCCAAGCATAGATCCCCTTTATTAATATTGTATAATAAACATTAATCTCCTGGTATTAGCAAGCATCTAATCCATAGTACATCTTAAAGTTAGGGGAAGCAAGCAAAAATGTTTTAATGCCACTGTGTGACCTCTAAGACATGTGCATTGTTGAATCTGGAAGGAATTTCTCAAAGCAGATATATTTAGGTTTTTAAAAAGCTGTTTTACGCCCTCCCCAAAGCATTTGCTAATATTCTGCTAAGGAACAGAATGGGTAACTGACTATAAGCTTCTGCTGAGTGGATGTTATGCTGACAAAGAGAGTACCGCTGTAAATAAACTCTTAAAAATATGAATCCAAATAAATCATCATCCATCACATAACTGGGCCCAGGAAGCCCTTACTTGGCTGCTTTTCACTGAGATCTTTTTTGCACATAAGTGCATTTGTATCCTGGTATTCAAATAGCATTTTTGGCTGAATAGGCATCCAAATTAACAATAGACATGCTTTATGTCTGAAGCCAGGACTATGGTTAAATATATCCCAAAGAATCTAAGATTTGTAAAGCATTGTATACTCTGCTTTGACATTGGTATTTAATCCTCGGTTGCTTGAGAACACATTTCAAAATGTCAGTTTTCAGATGTAACATTAAGCTACCATATCCTGGTTTGTTTACCCATTTGCTCAAAGGGTGGGATGAGGTTGGAGCAAACAGGCTTTCACATGGTCATCTGCTCAATTCACATAATGGTATAGAATTTCTGGCTTAATATGACATCTGTTGTGACCTTCTGCCATAAACACTGATGAATCACTGCTGTGCCCAAGATTGTATTACATGGTGGGAGCATTCACATGTAATATAACAATCTTAAATCACAGAGTTGGAAGGGATCCTATGGACCATCAAGTCCAGCCCCTGTCAAGGAGACACAGTAGGGAATCAAATGCCCAGCCGCAATCAGATACCTAAACCATTGAGCTGTAATGATGAACTATATTTAATTCTAGATACACAAATAGAAACCCTGTTTGGGCTCATTCACTTCTTTCTCTCATCTCTTGTATGGTCAAAAGGAATAATCTAGAATTCAAATTTACTTTAGCATATTTGTAATTTTATTGTTGATGGAATTCACATAAGGGTGGCCTTCCCATTGCTGTATGAGAGTACAGTATAGCATTTTGCTTTTTTGTTCACAATCCACATGGTGACCTAGCAATCTGATATCCCTGGGTTAAGATGCCATGTTTTACCTGGACTTAAAGGGGTGGGAGGAAGGAAGGAAGGAATAGCAGATGATTGTTTTGTGCCAAAACATTTCCAGTAGGATATCACACTTGGATACCTTATTGTGGCAATCAGACCCGTATATTTGGTGTTTGTTTCCTTTTTAGGTGTTTTGTGTTTTTTGTTTGTTTGTCTGTTTGTAAAAGAGCAGTCCTCCATTCCCAAGCAGTTACAGCTTACCAGCAGGTGGGGAAGAAAAAGAGAAGAAATTCTTGCAAGGAGTTCTAATCATCTGCTAAACAAGCCAAGAAGCAAACTATGGGTTGTTGGATTACTTGTTTGAAATAAGTCAGACTTTATTGTAAAACTAGATCCCATGAGAGGAAAGGGGAGGAGAAAACAGGGAGGGGTGTGTGAGCCCACCATGTCAAACACCTCCTGTTTGCTTATACACATAATGCTGAATTATGATTTATGGCTCAGGATAACAGCAGGGATCCCACCACCAAATTTTCCACTGAGGGACCCCTTCCCTTCATGGAACATGATCTGTTGCTGGTGTAAATGCTGCATGTGTAGATGTTGCAAGTTGTGATGGTGTTTGTTGTTATGTGCTGTCAAGTCATCTCTGACTTACGCCAACCCTAGGAATGTCTTTTTTTTTTTAAATAATAATAATAAACCTTTATTGGCATACAGCAGAAGGAGCCGCAAAATAAATACAGTAAAATACGCATACAGGAATGTCCTTTTAATAACAGCCCTACTTAGCTCTTGAAAACTCAAGAAGTGGCTTCCTTTATTGAATCAGTCCTTCTTGTATGTGGTCTTTAGTTGTGGTTGTCAGTTTCCATGGGGGAAAATCTGAATGCCTCCTATAAAGTTCCTGATCAACAGATTCTTTATGGATGACCCATAGATTTGTGTCCTTTACATCTGACAAGGAATTCATTTATGGTCACAGAAGATATTGTAACTTGTTACGTAACTTCATTCCTAGCTACCTTGTAATAATTTTGTCTTACAAGTTCAAAAATGAATCCCTTTCTTCTTATTTAGCAAGCAAACAACTGAATAACTAAAATCCAAAATGATAAAATATATTTGGAATGTATGTAAATTTTACATGCTTTCAAAATCACAGCCTTCAGTTACATATTTCTCTAGTTCATTTGTGTAAATAATATTTCTTCTATGTTAGAAAAGAAACGTTGGTTCTATTAAAATAAGAGCTTCTGTTTAGGTATTGTATAGGTGAAGCTCAGTGATTCAAAAATACAAAGCAAACAGGTTCCCTATAGTAAAAAAAAACCCCTATTTCTTAGATAACTCTAATTCAGTAGAGTTAAATCAGGCATAGTTTTCCAACTTAAAAGAGCATTCAAAATGGCTTTCAAAAAATGAAAAAAAAAAGTAGGAATAAAGGATTTTGAAAGAGATATGTAAAACTGGCACACTAAAACCAATAAAATGACTGCAATCATAACAACACAAAGGAAGTTCAGGAAATTAGACAGGCGTTATCCCCTACTTAAGAGACAACAGCAGATGGTCTGGGCTAGAGATGGGCATGAATTAAAAATGAATCAACAAATTTGTTCAGAAATTCTTAATTCATCGATTCATATTCGTATGAATCAATGGCCCCTGGCGAATACCAATCAATGAATTTTTAGTGATTTTTTATTTGTTGATTCATTTGCCTATAAAACTGGCCCTCCAGGCATTAGAGACCAAAATTTCAGGGAAGCTTCCTTTGGCTTTCCTCTACAAGCCCTCCAAGTTCAATGAGGATTGGGTTTCAGATATCCACTCACAAAGAGGGCCCCCCCAAGAAAGTTTCCCCAAGGCAGCTAGAGGCACCGAAATCAACAAGAAGCTTCTATTGATTCTCCCCTACTATCCCTCCAAGTTTGGTGCAGATTGAGTTTCCTTAAGCCAACTACTGAAGGACACTTTCCTGGGGGCACCCACTTTATGGATGTGATTTTGGTGTCTCTAGATTCCTTGGGGGAATCTTCCTTGTGGGTGTTTAACTCAGACATCTGAAACCCAGACATTACCATACTTGCAAGGCTTGTAGATGAGAGTCAGAGGAAGCTTCCCTGGAAATTTGGTATCTCTAGGTCTGGGGTGTGTGTGCATTTTATAGGGTTTTAATGGCAAAAACAAATTGACAAATAGATTTGTTGATTCATCAGAAAAAAAACATAAATTCATGATTCATGATTTGTCAACCTTGATGAATCATGAATCAAAACAAATCACCATTTTTCTGATTCATGCCCATTTCTAGTCTGGGCAAATGTGCCCAGCGAGTGAATTTCTTTGAAATATGATGTAACTACACCAGACAATTGTACCATTTTTGGAGTGCTCAGCTCCTTACAAAAAAAGCTTATAAAAACAACTAAACAGAATCAAATACGACCAAAGAACAAAAATTAAAACTAAGAGCATAAAATCAAAAGGAGCAGAGCACAAACTTTCAATCATATATTGAAAAACATTAAGAAAAGAAAACATTCAAGAAGAAAAATGGCCAAAATCCTCTTGCATAAGTTATCCCTGTAGAACAGTGATGATGTCACACCAGCAAGAGAGATTTCAGTAACTAAAGACTTCCCTCTTCTCTCCTATGGATTGTCTAGCTCATGAATAATCTGTTTTCTTACATGGTAGCTATGAAAGCAGCAGGACAAGGAGATGTTTTGAATTACTGAAAATTGCTACTTTCTGATACTACTCACATGGGGAGATTTTCAGTAAGGAAATACTTATTTTGAGTGGCTCCCATAATTTCCACATAATGAAATGGATTATCTGTGAGTTGGACACAGGTAATTCATTTAAAATAGAGAAATGAGATGTCATCACCCCTTCACAGGTATAACTTAGAAAATTAAAGCAATGTGTGTTACTCCACTGATATTTCTGTTTTTGCATTAATAGTATCTAAATCAGGCACAGTAGGAAGAACAGGATCAGAAATTCTGCAAACTTGAACACATTTTCCTATGCTTAGGATTGCCTTGCTCTTCCATTTTGTTCTTGCTTCCACTGTAGCTGTGTAGAGTGCTGGTCGTAGTCTAACTCTCACTTCAATTAAAATTTGATGGAATAATTGCAGAGATTACTCATGTAGTTGGTACAAACCTTAACCTCAGATATATAACGTCTCACTCTTCCAAAATGTTACTCTGGAATAACAATTTAAACTGGCATTTAAAAGACACCCCACTCATTATAAGACAGGGTGCAGAAGGGTATTTATTTTGTGTTAGTAGATTTCTTTCTCAGTTGTGGATATTAAAGAATGTTGACTACCAATTATTGGCAATATAATTGCTTTAATTATAAAAATACAGTGCAATACTAAATAATTAGCATTTATTCCAGAGATCCAAAGTGTAGCTTTAGAGCATTGGAACTGTTTTCTTACAAGATTGCACTGTAAGATAGTCCAATGTGATTTGTCTCATTTTATAGATGAAGTCCTGAGAGGACTGTGGTTCAGTGAGGTCTCTGCTGATGCGAAATTTCAGTTGGAGACTTTTTGGCTCATAGGCTCTCAGTAGGTTCTTGCTGCTGTCTTCGTGTTGTTTAGTCATGTCCAACTCTTTGTT